TGTATAACGGATACTTCATTACTTGTACCTAATACAGTTAGACAAATTTCGGCATAGATTGGAAAATTTTTATTCGTTGCATGACACTAAAGACTAAAGTGTATTGTAAAGCAACATGACAGCACCCCCGTGCTGCCCCCGCACTGTTTAGGCAACGGGGGCATCTGTCCCCGCTGCCCCCGTGGCTACGGAGCTCCTGGTCTTATTCTGTTCCGTATAAATGGCGCTATTGTTATCCTAATGAGTTTCACAGCCATCTTCCCTTCGATGGGCTATGTATTACCCCCAGGGACGCCGGAACGATAAAAAGCCAAAGGGGGGGGGGGCAAACGCACACGAAAGGGGAACCTCTATAGACTCCGGTGAAGATATAAACCTACAATAATGTGTTGACTTGCCAATGAAAGCAAACGCACTTACTTAATCAGGTCACATTCAAGATCACACCTCATGATTTTGCCCAAAAAGCATCACTGGAAATGTGATTTATCAGGTAGTATTTTACAACTCAAAGGGCATTTCTGCCCCCCCCCTTGCCCCTCCTAGCAAAAGGCAAGAGGGTCAGCAGCCCCTCCTGCCCCCCCCCAGTTCCGGCGTCCCTGCTCGGAAGTTTGCTTTGAATTTTAGGTTCACTTGGTCTGTCTTGGATATGCAAGAATTTTTTTTGTCGGCCGGTTCAAGAGAAAGCTGTTTAGTTCACATTTATTCAATAATAAAACAATTAAGCAGGCTGTACAATTATGCTTATGTTTGTACTAGACATTAAAAAATGATGTTCATCTCCTACTTCATTTCACTCACAAAGTCTGCATAGTCTGTCATTGTATGAGACATTGTTGTACCTATACCAGTTTCAACAGTTAGCTTATGCAATGTTCTGATATTATTAACTTTGTAATAGCTTGACGATATTTGAAATTGCATTTAAGTATTTTGCACGTTCAAAACTGATGTTTTTTTTATAATTTAGTACCACTATTCGTGTAGACAATATACCACTATTCGTGTAGACAAATATATTTAATATAATTATTTGCTTTGTAATTTTTAGATGAGAAGCCTACTGATAGCCCCTGGTCGAAATTGATGAGACCTGAATTCCCACATGCAAAACAGAAAGGATTCAAAATATATACCAAAGATGAAATAAGAAATTGTAAATATGAAGGTGAACAATCAAGAAGGAAGTTTTGGAATGAGAAAGCGGAACAATTATGCTCTCATTCAGAAACTGCCAATCTGTCAAAAAACAAGATCGGTGGAATCATCGACACTGCCTGGACACTGAGGAGAACATCACTTTTTCGGGATGAAGCTAGAAGACTTGATCAAAATGAGGAAGAATTATTTCCTGACGATACTAGCGCATCATGGAAAAGGGGATCAGGGAAACAAAAAGCCAAAACTATTGGAAACAATATCGAGAAAATGGAACTTGCCCATCTACTCGTCATTGAAAAAGACAAGGAACTTCAAAATATCAAAGCAAGATTAAAAAAATGCACCAGAGAGGAACGGGATTTAATAGAAAAGGAATATAAGAAAACTCTTTCCGAATTCGATGTAGCATACACAAAACTAAAACTTGCTCAAGAAGCACTCTCAAAGGCCTTGACACACAAAAAAGAAATTTTCGACAAACGCCTAAAGGAAAAGAACGAACGTGAATTCAAAAGTGATTAGAACAGCAGAAAAACACCTGATGCTAACTAGTTGTTCATGCTATAGCCCACGCGAATTAATAAACGTGACGAGCGAAGAGAGTTCCAAGTAAATATTTGAATAATTAGAAAAATCGATTTTTACATCGCATGACCAGTCGGCTATGTAGCTAACTTAATACAAAACAACTGCAACTCAGAAAAGGAACATTTTAATATTCTAGCTTTCGACTACGTTTTAGTCATCATCAGGAGTGATATACGTATAGGCGTAGCTATTCCAAAACTAGAATATTAAAATGTTCCTACAGTTGTTTTGTATATAGTTGTAAAAATACTCATTGCATGGTTCTCGCAATTTATGTAGCTTGGCGTCTGATATAACTACTGTATTAAGTATTGTTGCTGTAATGACTTCGGATCTCTTGCACTTGGGGGAACAAAAGAAGGAATTCCCTTCCAAAGGCTTGCCTATATTATTTATAACAGATTGAACACTTTACCAAAGTGGGCAGATGAATTAAATTAGTGACAGTTAGTCACTTAAGGCTTTTCAGTTTTCCACTTCAACCGTATCGTAACGTAACGTACAATTTTCGTTTGTGTCCAATTGATTAGTTCTACCATGGATTGTAAAATAACTGGATAGGAAACTTCCTGACGTCACAGTCTAAACCTAGTTGCAATCTGTGACGTCACGCGCATTGCCAAAGTTCTCAGCATTTTTGTTGTTTCGCTATATTTTCCGCTTTAAAAGAGTAATATTGAAGCAGTTTATTGAAGAGTAATATTTAAAAACATGCCTAAGCCACGACAAAGTATTCAAGGTAAATGTTTTTCATCTTTGTTTTGTATTTTTTACATTTGTAGCTACGAAATTGGCGTCACAATTTTTAACGAAATTTGCGATGCATTTTTCACTGTTTAATAGTGCTTGAAATATTTGCTAAAATTGACCGGGAATACTTAGAGATTTTATCGTAGAATGGCGTGGTTATATTTATTTACTCTTTCACTAAATTGTTTAGCTGTATTATCGCTAAACATGCCGTTTTTGAGAATTTGGTTTGCAACTAGGTTTCAACGCCATCATCCCATTGAAAACATTAGGTCACGCCAACTAGTTTCCTGTCCATGTGTTTTATTATCCATGGTTCTACTTTCCTCTCTAGTGCTCGAGAAACAAACAAAGAATACGCTTCGCTACGATACGCGATTGAAGTGGAAAACGGGCTTTACTTGTTTTGAGAGGAAAGATTGCATCTCACATTATCTGATTAAAAAATCAACTTGTAAATATATTCTTATTAATTAATTTTTAATCATATTAATCTATAAACAGTTGCACATTTATTTGACCCCCTGTAAATAGTTTTTTTTTAACCAAAGCTTGTACTATGTCTACGATATTTTATATATACATGCACGACCCACGTGGAAATTATTTTCCACCTATCTCCTTGTAACGATTATTATTTAAAGTTAAAAAAGTTAGTCACATTTGTTATCAATTACACAACGCCCAAGGAACATGATGAAAATGTTCTAGAGTGTTTAGTAATTCGAAGGTCGCGGGTTCGAGACCCAGCCGCGGCAGACAACATCTTCCTGCTTGCGCTGGGTATGGAAATTATATAATACACACTCTAGAACATTTTCATCTTAACATATTACAGAGTGTACAATTACACAACTAACATATATATATATATATAGAACTCACAAAATTTTCGAGCTGTTTGACCTAAAAATCACCGCCGAATCCAATTTACAATTTACGCATAGTAATTTTTTTCGGAATGATGTAATCTTCGATCTTAACAATGGAAAATATAGGCCCTATAAGAAGCCCAATGACGATCCGCTATACACAAATAGGTACTCTAACCATCCACTAGGCATTATATAAGGCAGCTACCTACATCAATTAACAAGCGCATTGCACTGCTTTCATCAGATGAGCAAACATTTAAGGAATCTGCACCTGCATACCAAAACGCACTTATCTTCTCGCGGAAATTTCCAAATTTTTCTTACCACATCGGAAATTATCGGGAATTTCTCAACCCCCTCGGCAATTTTCTTGACCCCTCAGAAATTTTCAGCGATTTTCTTGACCCCTCGGAAATTCTCGTCAACAGGTAGTAGCCCTTCAGAAATTATCGGGAATTTCTCGACCCCCTCAGAAATTATCGGCAATTTTCTTGACCCCCTCGGAAATTTTCAGCGATTTTCTTGACCCCTCGGAATTTCTCGTCAACAGGTAGTAGCCCTTCAGAAATTTCAGGTATTACCCCTTTAATTTAAAAAAAAAATTTGACCCATTCAGAAATTTTCTTTTTCCAACACCCCTCGGAAATTTCAACTTCAGACCCCCCTCAGAAATTCAGAAAATTTCAGACCCTTCGGAAAATCTCGTCAACAGGGGGGTGTGGATATTAAATGGAATGGCCTCTGAGGCCTTCGGCAAAAAAGTATTTAATACAAATGCAAGCCTTCGATTTAAAAACATAACTATACAGTATATCAAGTAAGTATCCGCATACAAATGAGTAAATACACAATAGACATACCTTTGAAAACAAATTCCATGTATTTTATTAGGTCTTTGGAACTTTATAAGTGGAAAATTTGAATAAAAATCCTTTCCTCTTTGAATGTTTGCAAAAGATCGAACTTAGCGCTTGTTATCAACAGATCGAATTACTACAACACGTGATATATTCTAAGCATGTAATTGGTTGAAAAATAGTTGAAATTCTGGAACTTCCACTTGTCGCAAATTATATTCCGCAACAGAACATTCCACAAGTTCAAATTACAGATTAATAAATACGCAGCAAATAAAGGATATAGATTAATTTGACGAGAAAAACTCGCTGACAATTTCTGGCTACATTCGATAGCCGCGTTTGCGATTCAACAATAAGAATCCGATATACTGGTAATATACAGCAACCTGACTTGGCAATATACGAATGAAAAAGCGCATCAATCAGCTAAATCTTGTGATGATTTTACACGAAATTGCAGCTTTTTCACTATACGAATTTGTATAGAAAATACCGCCCTAATTCTACAGTATTTGAATAAATAAATACTGTAGATTGGAATATAGGTTAGAGATCCTTGCATGGAATATTTCTGTGCCTTTATGAAAAATGTGTAAGTTAAAAAGGTGTGTTTGTTCCAAAGGTGTGCTTTAATTAGCAAATCTTTTTTGAAGGTGTGTTACAAAAGCACACCTTTCACCAAAAGATGTGCTTAATTTAACAACGTCAAAGGTGTGTTATTTTAAGGTGTGTTATTGAAAAAAGGTGTGCTATTTTGGGGCACAAAAAAAGATGTATGGAGGGGAATTAGGGACAAAATTGTTTCAGAGTCAAAGCATTGTTGTGTCATCACGGTTAATTGTATCGTACTGGACAGGCAGGCATTGGATCGTACTGGATAGGCATTGGGTCGTACTGGATAGGCAATGGATCGTACTGGATAGGCAATGGGTCGTACTGGATAGGCATTGGGTCGTACTGGATAGGCAATGGGTCGTACTGGATAGGCAATGGATCGTACTGGATAGGCAATGGGTCGAACTGGATAGGCAATGGGTCGAACTGGATAGGCAATGGGTCGTACTGGACAGGCAATGGGTCGTACTGGATAGGCAATGGGTCGTACTGGACAGGCAATGGGTCGTACTGGATAGGCAATGGATCGTACTGGACAGGCATTGGATCGAACTGGATAGGCAATGGGTCGTAAAAGAAAATTGTCTCTTTTCCGTATGGAAATTTTGAAAAACGGGAAGAAAAGTGGAAAATTTTTCGTGTGGTAAGTGGTAACACCAAACATTTTGCATTTTCTGATTTTCATAATTTGCGTATATATTCAGTGATTCCACTTTCAAGGAAATTTTCTTTTTCAAGGAAATTTTGACCGAAAAAAGACGTTTCAAGGAAAAAAAAGGAATCAAGGAAATCTAAGGAATTTTTGAAAATTCTAAGGAAGTTTAAGGAATTTTTGAATCAACTGAAAAGTTTTGAAGATTTTTACAGGAACCTTTCATTAATTTTAAATTATATTACTTTCCTCCGTTCATAACCAATATGTCTGTGTGCAAAAATGAAAAAAAAACTCTTTCTGAGCCTGTAAACGAGTCAGTAGAATCAAGAATTTTAATTCAACTAAGTAGGCTGCACACAACCTGAATTTTAGGCGGAAATCAACTAGCGTGCTGTGTGCAGGCTACCACCATTCAATGGCTACCACGTGTTGGTTATATCAATTTATTTGTCATGTGAATTTGTTGACTATTGAGAACAATATTTTAAAAAACTCTAGTATTTTACATTTTAAAGCTTTTAAAATTGTTGTGTAAAGGCTTTGTTTTTAAGAGTTGAACGAAAGAAATGTACCATTCTGTTTCTGTCTTACTTTATATAAGTATTGATGAATTCTAGTCAGGGGAGCCGGAAGCAATGTCAAGGGGCGGGGGCAGCCATTTCAAAAAGGCGCTTGCTCCTCAGCCATCACCTTTCTGTGCGGCAATATTTGTTAAAACTCGACTGTAGGATACTCGATTACTTGTGGCTATTACGGGTCGGCAAACTTCGACATTAATTTTGAACAATTTTATTCGTTGCACCGTGTTAAGGGCGCAAAATAAAATCAGCCTCAGGACATATTGCCTGATTTACCATTAATTTTACAATAACTGGTTAAAAATTAAGCAAAGATTGCTTAAGCATTTCTTAAAAATAGTTATAAATTCCAATTCCTGTGAAGAACGCACAAATTCGAAGTGCAGTTCTGGTAAAAAGGGCAACCTGCTGCCCCCGTGCTGCCTTAGGCAACGGGGGCAGTTGCCTCCGCTGCCCCCGTAGCTCCGGCGCCCCTGATTCTAGTTGCCGAAATTAGGCGAAATATACTTCGGTTAATCAAGGAAATTTCAAAGAAATTACATCCCATTTCAAGGAAATTCAAGGAAATTTTAAAGCAAAATCAAGGAAATTTGAATGATGCCTTGTGGAAACACTGTATATATTTTGTCAAGAAGAATTTCCAAGAAGAATTTCATGCTTCATTTGTTTATTGTCCTTTTTTAAATTGTTTAAAAGTGTCAAGAGAAGACGACACTCACAGGTTACAACGTGCGAAAGATGCGTTAAAGAACGCGTTACAGGAATTGGAATCAGAGCCACAGAGCTCCAGCCCGATAAACAACGCACGAGCAACAGCTACTCGGTCTCCGAATATCGATGTCGTTGATCAACAAAGACAAAGTGCAACTGATGATTTTAGGTGAGTCAATGAAAAAGGAACGGAATCCATGAGTGTATTATCTATTTTCTTTAAAGGAATATTATAGTTATAAGTAAGTTTAATTGTAATTATATAGACCATAATTTTGGCGCCGCTTTCCCATTCTGATGCATGAAACACGTGTTCATTAGTAAATTTATATATTTTTTTTCAAATATGCGAATACCGGGGAGGGGTATGACAAAAAAGAAACAATGACGATAAATCAGTCAAGATTTTATATACATAATTTCAAATGCCCCGGGCCGATGAATCAGTCAAGATTTTTTACATAATTTCAAATACCTGGAAAAGTTATAAAATATGCTTTGAGATTGTGTTTTTAATGACTATTTTTACAAGGTTCTGCAGGCCCTGCTGTTTTATGCAGACATTCCAACTACTCGAGGTGAAATTTATGGAGACTGTTCAGTGAATTGAAATCTAGTTCTAAGTTCTTCTGGGAAAAATAATAAAAATTAAGTCTTCTGAAATGGCGTTTCCTGCATTTTGGGAAGATGTTGTTATACGTGAACCTGTAAATTGCCATAAATTAACTTCATAAAAAGGTCAAGACAGACTATTATGTTGCTAAAAACAGTATATCTACGATTTTTTTACGATATTTCCTGAATATTTTGAAAAATCGGGAGAATTTGATAAAAATCGGGAGACCAGGAGATTGCATGAATTTTCGGTTGACTTCCTGTAAAATCGAGAGATTTGGAGTGTCTGTTTATGTGACCTTCCCATAATGCAGCAGGAACTTGTTAACAGAACAAATGTTAACAGAACTTGATATTAAAATCCAAATATTAATTAATCAGCTAAAAGTGACTTTATGCATCAACACTTGCCATATAGTCATTTATGATAACATTTTTAAATATGGCAGTAATTTATGTTAAATCGTTCTGATGACTGATATTTTATTAATAAATTAAAATCCAAAAAGGAATATTTAGAGTTAAAACTACAATTTTAACAGTAATATCGGCAACAAAAATATACCCAATGAGTTGGATTTATCAAGTTCTGTTAACATTTGTTCTGTTAACAAGTTCCTGCTACATCATGAGAAGGTCACAGCAGGGCCTGCAGAACCTTGTAAAAATAGTCATTAAAAACACATGTAATTTAATACTATCTCAAAGCATATTTTATAACTTTTCCAGGTATTTGAAATTATGTATAAAATCTTGACTGATTCATCGGGCCGGGACATTTGAAATTATGTATATAAAATCTTGACTGATTTATCGTCATTGGTTCTTTTTTTGTCATACCCCCCCCCCCGGTATTCGCGTATTTGAAAAAAAAATATAAATTTACTAATGAACACGTGTTGCATGCATCAGAATGCGAAAGCGGCGCCAAAATTATGGTCTATATAATTACAATTAAACTTTAATATTCCTTTAACGAAAATAGATAATACACTCATGGATTTTGTTCCTTTTTCATTGACTCACCTAAAATCATCAGTTGCACTTTGTCTTTGTTGATCAACGACATCGATATTCGGAGACCGAGTAGCTGTAGCTCTTGCGTTGTTTATCGGGCTGGAGCTCTGTGGCTCTGATTCCAATTCCTGTAACGCGTTCTTTAACGCATCTTTCGCACGTTGTAACCTGTCGTCTTCTCTTGACATTTTTAAACAATTAAAAAAGGACAATAAACAAATGAAGCATGAAATTCTTCTTGACAAAATATATACGCAAATTATGAAAATCAGAAAATGCAAAATGTAAATTAAACGAGTTTGATGTTACCACTTATCACACGAAAAATTTTCATTTTCCACTTTTCTTCCCGTTTTTCAAAATTTCCATACGGAAAAGAGACAATTTTCTTTTACGATCCATTGCCTATCCAGTACGATCCATTGCCTATCCAGTACGACCCATTGCCTATCCAGTACGACCCATTGCCTATCCAGTACGACCCATTGCCTATCCAGTACGACCCATTGCCTATCCAGTACGACCCAATGCCTATCCAGTACGATCCAATGCCTATCCAGTACGACCCATTGCCTATCCAGTACGACCCAATGCCTATCCAGTACGATCCATTGCCTATCCAGTTCGACCCAATGCCTATCCAGTACGACCCATTGCTTATCCAGTACGACCTATTGCCTATCCAGTACGATCCATTGCCTATCAAGTACGATCCATTGCCTGTCCAGTACGATACAATTGACCGTGATGACACAATAATGCTTTGAATCTGAAACAATTTTGTCCCTAATTCCCCTCCATAAAAGTGTGAAAGGTGCTGACATTTGTTTCCAATTAATAGCCTGCATTATTTTCCCTTGCATGTAATTTAATGCCAAGTAATGAGATGTAGTTTAATCATTGAAAAATATTAACTAATCTAGTTTATGAAGCGACTTGTCAAGTTGTTATCACCAATTACTGCATATTAGGACTTCAGAATATAAGTTTACAAAATTTTGGGCGCCAAATTTAATTGCGCCAAATCATCTGAAGCGAACAGCATGCAAGCGATCATGGCGTACAAACGCGTTTACTCAGACAAGCTTCGTACTCTAAAAAACTGGTGCGCCTACTGGTATGCCTTTATCTGTCGTAACGAAAGACGCTCTATATAAAGGCAATAAGCCATGGCCGTGGCCCAACGTGTTGGTTGACAGAAATATCAGCGAATTTGGTAAGACACTTTTTACTCATTTACATTTATTTTACAATAGTCATACACAAATATTGCTATTTTTATGTTTATTGACTCTGTAATCCAAATCGTTTCTGTACTCTATCCTTCTTACACATGTGCCAACCCCAACTCCATGCTGACGAGTCCATGAGACCATGAAGGACGAAACGCCGCGTACAGGGATATTGAATTTTACACACATGACTATCTCTTTCTCTCGCTCTATATATTTTACATGCCTCCAGTACAAGCTTTTTAGTACAGCGCGATCATACTCTAGCTTTGGGTCTGATCAAATATATATTTTACACCACAGGATATATTTTACCTTTACAATTTTACACATGCATGCATCTCCAGTTTTGTGTTTCATAAATCTACACCTGTAGGCTACTTATATTTCTTAGGTTCACATTTATACAAATACAAGTCGTTTTTTTATCTTTTATCCTCAGTTTCATCAAATACAACATAATTTTCACAGGCATACATTGTGCCAACAACACGAGGCCATCACACTATCATATTTCACGCAGCACTTTTTGATCTAACATTTAGGGATTATTGAGGCATAAAATTATTACTAGGACACCAATATGGTTCTCATTACATCTAAACTTAAAAAACAGATTATGAAGATGTTCCATCTTTTCTTAAGCAGTGAAAGCTATAAATAGGAATCTGTAATTTTTCTCTGCATGGAGTATATATCCCACTATAAATCACGGCGCAACGCAAAAATAGCCTT